ACTACAACAACGACAATCATTTTGAGACTAGTCGCTCTTATTTGTTCACGTGTCATTCAACACGTATATCTCCCAACCCCTCGATACCGCCCTCTTCGTTTTCTCTCGTGCTTCCCTTGGGGGTATATCTTTCCTACCTGCCGCGTGCACGTTGGCGCAGCCCCTGAAACAGGAACAAAAAGGGAGGAGGGGAACTAAGGTTAGGAGAAAACTACTAAGAGGTTTTCGTCGGAACAATTAAGCAGGATTAAGCCCCTTTGGGATCTATTACGCAGGAAAGGGCCTTGGATTAAGCCGGATTAAGCGGGATTCAGCCAGACTTCGGACCAGAGCAAAATCAGAATTTGACCTCCCAGGAGTTGCATCCGAACAAAGGGGACGGAGAAGGATGGACCACGAGGGAGATTTGCAGAAGGAGGGGTAGGACCAGCAGAACAAGCGGCAACACCACTCGGGCGGGCCGGGCGGGCATACCCTAACGAGCAGGTCGGGCGGGCGGGCCAAGCGGCCGGGTCGAGCGGGCGGGTCGCTGAAACGCAAATCCAAGATGCATCGCAGAGAAGTTTCGCGAGACATCCTCCTCCTCCTCCTCCTCCTCCTCCTCCTCCTCCTCCTCCCTCCTCCTCCTCCTCCTCCTCCTCCTCCTCCTCCCCCTCCTCCTCCCTCCTCCTCCTCCTCCTCCTCCTCCTCCTCCTCGTCCTCCTTCTCCTCCTCCTTCCCCTCCCCCCTCGCGATTCCCAAGCGGATCGCGAGGACATCCCAAACGAAAGCGTGATTCCTGAGTCGTGGGGTCACGGCGCCGCAAGACACTGCGAGGGAATCCCACGCGAGAGCGCAACTCCTGCATAATGTGTGAGGGAGTCCCGCACGAGACCGCGGTTCTCAAATACATTCCAAGGAAATATCAACTGTGAACCGCTGTTATTGCTGTAACCCGGGAGCCAAGGGCCCAGTTTGAAGACCGAAACTCTACTAAAGTGCGAGCCCCGTGAGGGCCACTTTGATTGACAAACGTAAGGTTCACCAGAGGGGGGATCAACGTAATTTATTGTTTAAACATGAAAATTCAACAACGGCTCCCGCATGATGCTTCTGCACATCTTATCCAAAATCGCGCTCTCGCCCTGGACACTCCTCTCACTTTCTTGAACCGCCGCGTCCTCGACACTCAGGAATCACGCTCTCGCTCAGGACGTCCTTACGGTTTACTTTGGGATCGCGCTATCACTCGCGACATCCTCGCTCGCACAGGACTGACGCTTCAGCGACCCGCCCACTTATTTCGGCCGTCTGGGCCCGCCCGCCCGAACCCCGCCCGTTAAGGTCTGCCCGCCCCGCCCTTCTGACTCTGCCGTTTGTTTTCCCGCTCCTGGCCCCCTCCTGCCGACCTCTCTCGTGGTCCATCCTTCTCCCTCCTCTCCCCTGGCCCCGGGGAGGCTATCTGGCGTGGAGGGAAACGGCCCGTGTCCTTCGCGTGAACTGAATTCCCCTGGATTGCCAGCCCCAGGATCGGCAGCCACCCTCCCCATGGGGGCGATCGGAAGTTGGCGACCGGGGCTGCCCCCCGTTGCTGGGCTCCCCCCCCCCCAGCAAAAGGCCCTCAGGCCCCATCCTCCGCTCGCCGCCCGGCTCCGGGAGGCGTGGCGGGCAGGTTGAATGCGGTGTCGCGCTCCCTGCCCCTTCAGGCATGCGCCCATGCTTTTTAATGCGCCTTGGGCGCTTTCTCGGCGAATTCCGGACGGTCGTTCGACCCCTCAGAGAGCAGGGTTCAGTGCAGCTCGTCTCATGGTGTCTTTGCGCAATGTGCCGCTTCCCACAGTTTGCATTCCCTTTGAAGGGTTTCACGGCGCCATCTCACCTGTCCCAAAGCTTTTGAGCCATTTGAGTGTCAGGTCTCAGGCCTCCCGCGAATATCCGTTCCGGGGGCTGCCATGTTTCTCCCAACCATCCTGTGGTGTTGGGTCCTCGTTTTGAAAAGACAGCGCCCCGCGTCCCACCTCTTTCCTCCTTCCTGCTCCTCCCCCTCCCCCTCCTCCTCCCACCATCATCATCGTCATCATCATCATCGTCGTCATCACCAATTTCGGCACACCCCTCACACGTTTCGTGGCCCCGTGGGGAGCTCCGCCGAAGGTCCCAATGGGTGTGCCCGCATGCGTCCCGCACACCCATTTCCGCACACCCCTCACACGTTTCGTGGCCCCATAAGGAGCTCCACCGAAGGTCTCAGTGGGTGTGCCTGCATACGTCCCGCACACCCATTTCGGCACACCCCTCACACGCTTCGTGGCCCCATAGGGAGCTCCACCGAAGGTCCAAGTGGGCGTGCCCGCCTGCGTCCCGCACACCCATTTCTGCACACCCCTCACACGTTTCGTGGCCCCATAAGGAGCTCCACCGAAGGTCCCAGTGGGTGTGCCCGCATGCGACCCGCACACCCATTTCGGCACACCCCTCACACGTTTCGTGGCCCCATAGGAGCTCCACCGAAGGTCCCCGTGGGTGTGCCCGCATGCGTCCCCCCCCCCCCCCCACACCACACACACACACACACACACACACACACACACACACACACACACACACACACACACACACACACACACCACACACACACACACACACACACACACACACACACACACACACACACACACACACACACACACACACACACACACATTTCGGCACACCCCTCACACGCTTCGTGGCCCCATAGGGAGCTCCGCCGAAGGTCCCAATGGGTGTGCCCGCATGCGTCCCGCCAATGTCGGCACACCCCTCACACGTTTCGTGGCCCCATAAGGAGCTCGGCCGAAAGTCCCAGTGGGTGTGCCCGCATGCGTCCCGCACACCCATTTCGGCACACCGCTCACACGTTTCGTGGCCCCATAAGGAGCTCCACCGAAGGTCCCAGCGGGTGTGCCCGCATACGTCCCGCACACCCATTTCGGCACACCCCTCACGCGCTTCGTGGCCCCATAGGGGCTCCACTGGCACAGTCCGCATGCGTCCCCGCCAATCATGCCGGCCCACCCCTCACACGTTTCGTGGCCCCATAAGGAGCTCGGCCGAAAGTCCCAGTGGGTGTGCCCGCATGCGTCCCGCACACCCATTTCGGCACACCGCTCACACGTTTCGTGGCCCCATAAGGAGCTCCACCGAAGGTCCCAGCGGGTGTGCCCGCATACGTCCCGCACACCCATTTCGGCACACCCCTCACACGCTTCGTGGCCCCATGAAGAACTCCACCGAAGGTCCCAGTGGGTGTGCCCGCATGCGTCCCGCACACCCATTTCGGCACACCCCTCACACGCTTCGTGGCCCCATGAGGAACTCCACCGAAGGTCCCAGTGGGTGTGCCCGCATGCGTCCTGCACGCCAATTTCGGCACACCCTGTACACGCTTCGTGGCCCCATAGGGAGCTCCACCGAAAGTCCCAATGGGTGTGCCCGCATGCGTCCCGCACACCCATTTCAGCACACCCCTCGCACGCTTCGTGGCCCCATAGGGAGCTCCACCGAAGGTCCCAATGCGCGTGCCCGCATGCGTCCCGCACACCCATTTCGGCACACCCCTCACACGTTTACAAGGAGCTCCACCGAAGGTCCCAGCGGGCGTGCCCGCATGCGTCCCGCACACCCATTTCGGCACACCCCTCACGCGCTTCGTGGCCCCATAGGGGCTCCACTGGCACAGTCCGCATGCGTCCCCGCCAATCATGCCGGCCCACCCCTCACACGTTTCGTGGCCCCACAGGAGCTCGGCCGAAGGTCCCAGTGGCACAGTCCGCATGCGCCCCCGCCGTTCATTTCGGCCCACCCCTCGCACGCTTCGTGCCCCGTAGGAGCTCCACCGAAGGTCTCAGAGGCAAAGTCCGCCTGCGTCCCCGCAACTCATTTCGGCACACCCCTCACACGCTTCGCGGCCCCATAGGAGCTCCGCCGAAGGTCCCGGCGGCACAGCCCACACGCGCCCCCGCCACCCATTCCGGCACACCCCTCATACGTTTCGTGGCCCCATAGGGAGCTCCGCCGAAGGTCCCAGTGGCACAATCCGAATGCGCCCCCGCCACTCATTTCGGCGCACCCCTCACACGCTTCGTGGCCCCATGAGGAACTCCACCGAAGGTCCCCGTGGCGCAGTCCGCATGCGCCCCCGCGCACCAATTTCGGCACACCCCTCACACGTTTAGTGGCCCCATAGGAGCTCCGCCGAAGGCCCCCGTGGCACAGCCCGCCTGTGTCCCCGCAACTCATTTCGGCACGCCCCTCACACGTTTCGTGGCCCCATAGGAGCTCCACCGAAGGTCCCCGTGGCGCAGTCCGCATGCGTCTCCCTCACCCAATACGCATTTCGTGGCCCCATATGGAGCCCCACCGAAGGTCTCAGCCAGCCAGCTGGCTCTCCTTGCTCTGCGCAGCGGACGACCCGCGCGCGTCGCTGGGACCCCTCCTGGGCGACCTGCGCGCGTCGCGGGGACTCCGCGCTGCGCTGCGCTCGCAGCCTTGGACTTTTGAGCGCGCGGGCAAAGAGGGAGTAAAAGAAGGGGAGGAAGCGGGCGCGATCCTCGCGGGGGGGCGCGCCGACATTGGCGTCGCGGCGCGCGTGCGATGCCGCCAGGGAGTCCCGGGGGAGCTCCTTGCGGCGGCCACGCCCAGCGTCGCGAGTACTCAGAGGCAGTCATTCTCAAACTATTGACATTCATATACGATTGCACCATGCTTTGTCACACTCGCATTCCTGCACGTAGACTCGCTCGCACGCAGGTTCATTCACAGTCAGAAGCACTCGCGCTCATATTCGCCCGCCCTCAGTGCCCCTACGTAATCAGATCAATAGTTTTCGTTCGCGCTGTGTACCACGCAACTCATTTCGGCACGCCCCTAGCGCGGTTCGTTGCCTCATAGGGATCGCCGCCGAAAATGTGAATCACTATTGCGGTACTCACACCTGCATATGGTGGGTTCCCTCGTCAGGCTAATTTTTGATTGTTCGGTCACTTGACAGCTCTGGCCTCCAGCGACTCTACGGCACCTGTGCAATGCCACGCGTCAGTGCCGCACTCCGTGGCCGCCTCTCCCCTGTTTTATGGGCTGCGCCGACTACGCGGGGGACAGAGGGACAGTTAAGGTCCACCATCCGCAGAAACGGATCCTAGCCGCTGGGCCAAGGAGGCCGTGCCTCGGGAAAGTGCTGGGAAGCCTGCGCCGCCCTATAAGCGCGCGAGCCGCGCCACCGCCTCGGCTAGAGCAAACTCAGCGCTAAGCGCCGAGCCTACCCTATACAAGGCGGTTGAATTGACCAGGCACGGCGCCTGCTGTCAGCAGCAGGAGCAGGGGCCATGCGGAGGGACCTCCACAATTGCGACTTCTCACAGCACAAGTGGGATCTGCTGAGACTATGCGCCATGCAGCGGGCGTAAAACTGGTGGCAGCGCAGAGACTGCCATAAAATATATGGAGGCACGAGTCAGTTGCACAAGACAATGCCTCCACTGCAAGACCTGGCATGACCCCAGGAAATGGGGCTGCCTTGAAAAAAAGTAGCCATCGGAAAAATGCAGGACAACGCAGGGACAGAGCCAACCAGGCCACAGTTGGGGCAACCCCAGAATGAACGCATTGCCCATTGTCCCCCAGCCGCCCGCAGGTGCCCAAGCACATAAATGCGACTACATGCCAAGTGGCAAATACACGCAACTAAGCGAGGCTCAGCCACCGCGGCAAAGCTTAGACAGACAGGAAGGCACACTCTACGCAGGAGTGCGGGCCACTGCCAGCGAACAGAAAAGCTCGGACACAATGCCGACCGCCACGGCGATGTGGCGCCCAGGACTGACGCGAGAAGTGGGCAAGCAGAAAGACACGGGGCCATTTTCCGCGAAGTGGGGGTGCCCCGTGTCTATCTCCCAATCCGCAGCGTCAATCCGATAATCGCGAATCAGATCAGCCACGAACCATTGACTCGGGATCAAAACAGAACCAAGGACGGACCCAACACAAGGCGGCGGCCGCGGCTCGCGACAGGCGAGGAGCTCGCCCCTGAACCGAGCCTGGCTCGACGAGGCAACCCCTTCACACGGCGCAAGGAGCTTGCGCCAGGTCGGGGCCTCGAAGTAACAGTGCGCCGCGCGTCGGCGGCAGACGAAAAAGCGGCCGGCGGGCTGCGCACTTTGCCCTCTGAACAGGCAGGCGCCATGGGGCCCCATCGGGGGCTCGGCGGAGCCCTCGGGCCCAGTTCAAAGAGGGCGGCCTTGACAGCAGCGCATCGGGCCCCAGGGGGGGCCCCTCTGCGCCGCCAGGCCCGCGAAGCCGCGAGGTAAATGGAGGGGCGTAGGCCTGCAACTTGTGCCGGGCTGCTCGCGCTTCTGCCTGCCCACGAGCGCGGAGCGATGGCGCCGCGCGCAATGAGCGCCGCCCGACACCCCCTCCACCGCCTGCAGACCATGGGAAAGCAGAGCGAGCTGCGGCACATAATCGCCCAGCACCCTTGGTCGCGTCGGCACCTCTGGGGCAGCGGCGGCTGCGTGTTGCGCAACTCTCGACGAGAAATCCAGGGCGCGGCAACGAACTTTGAAGGGCTCTCGAAGATGAGCCGCTCAAACCTTCGGCGGCTCATGCTCGGCCGCCCCCGACCCAGCGAAACGGATCAGCCCGCGCATTGCCGATGCAATCGGCGACGCTTTGGCCCAGGCCCTCGGCCCGGATCGCTGGTTCCACCGGGGCATGCTCAACGTCGCGGTGGGCCGGGGCCCAGCGGGCGCAGGCCTCCCAGGCCTGTCTCGATACCGCTCAAACATTTGCCTCCATGCCGACGCGTGCTTGGCCGCGTCCGCGGCAAGACCGCGGTCCCAGGAGACGCCCTCCTTCCGCGCGGACAAATGGTCAGCCGCGACTTCGGGGGCCCCCAGCCCAACGCGCAAACGCGCGGAGGATGGCCTGGCGCTCCGCCCTCGGGACCCTTTGGACAGGCCCCGCAAGGGCCCCGTACTCAGCCCTCACGGGCCAGCCCCCGGGCGGGCAGGGATACCACGGACCAGCCGCATCTGGTGGCCTCAAGGGGCGCCGACGCCAGGCCACTCTCGCCCGCGCGCAGGCGACGCTCCCAGAGCGCTCTTTCCGCGCCCTGTTTATAATTATTATTATTATTATATATATATATATATATATAAAAGAAAAAAACGTCTCGTCGGCCGCAGGCGGGGTCTAGATGGGGAGAGAAGGCAGCCCGTGCACCAGCTCGGGGGAATCGAAGTCGGGGGGGATCCATTACGCCCGCCGTTTCAACCACGGACTTGCTTCAGGATCGATGCTCCCAGACCAGGAGATTGTTTTTTTTTATTCTGGCCGATAACGCTCGTTACCCGGGGGGGGGGGGGGGGCGGTCGTGCCCCCCGGGTAACGGTAACGCTTGGGCTGGGCGGGGTATGGCGAAGCAGGGGCGCTCTGCGATCGCCATAGTATGCGCGCGAGCAGCACTCTCTGCCTGAGAGCACCACAGTGGCTTGCGATTCGAGTACAAGCGCAAAGCCCGCCGCGTGGTCCCGGCACCACGCCCGCGCCCGCGCGCGCGACGACGATGATCGACGAGCGACGAGCGACGAGGTCGACGACGACGACGACGACGACGACGTTTGCCGCCTGTTTCGGCCTCCGGAGGCCGTTTTCGAGCGCCGTCGACGACGACGACGGCGACGACGACAACGACGACGACGACGACGACGACGTTGTTGTTTTTGTGCCTTTGTCGGACTCCGGAGGCCGTTTTTCGGGCGCCGTCGACGACGACGACGACGATTCGAGTACAAGCGCAAAGCCCGCAAGCACCAGCATCGCGCATGCGAGCGCCGCAATGGCCTGCGAGCGCCCACAGTGCGCCTGCGACCATCACACCACAGTGCGCATGCCTTCGGGCACCAGCATGTTGGAGGGGAAGACCGAGACCCCCCCCGCGCACGAGCGTTACCGTTACGGGGGGGGGGGGGGGGGAGAAGCCCGGGTAACGAGCGTTACCCCCCAGAGGATAAAAAAACAATCTCCAGAGCCCCTCGCATCCGTAAAACTGGTGGCCTAGCTTGCCTTGTGGGAGCTCGCGGAAATCGCACTTGCTGCTATCGACATAGTCATGCCCGCAGTCCGCAGCGCCCTAAAACATCATCCTCTGACCCCCTGCATCTCCTGAAGCCCGAGCCTAAGAACCCTCATCCAGACAGCCTCGCGCCCGTGGGCCTCAGGAAGACTAGACGCTAGCTGTGCACCCCGCGCCCCGCTTATTCTAACTCTCGAGCGAAGCCTGGCCCCACAAGGTGAGGTGCGACAAAACGAATTGATCTGCCGGCGATCAGACCCGACGCGGCGCGGGCCGATCAACTCCCACCCCGCGCGCTGCAAAGACCACATGACGGCGCCCATGGGGCCCTCGACACTGGAACAATGAGGTTTAACACGCAAGGCCTGGGACGCCGCCCCCCACGCACATATGAGGTCCGAGCTCTTGGCCCGCCCTTTCTCAAACCCAGCGGCAATGCCTGGGCGCGAGGGGAACGGTAGCATCGCGCATAGGGTCGTCCAAAGGGTCACGATGGGAGCACAAGCAGGGCGCGACGTGGCAACTGCCTTTGGCTCCCATGAGCGAAGCAGCCAGCGCTCTCAGAATGCGGATAGCGGCGTCCGTTGCGCCTGAGACAGCAGCCCCGCGGCTGCCGCATGGCGTTAGCCCCGCTCTCCAGAGCCCCGCCACCCTCTCACCCCCCCGCCGCCCGACGCAGCGCGCCCATGCGATGCTGCGCCTCCGGGCCTCCATCGCGCGAGGGGCCCGCCTTTCAAAAAGATCGTGGCCTAAATTGCGCGCGTGCTTCTGGCGGCGGAAGCCGATCGGGCGGCCCGCCGAGGCCGCGATCTTCTCAGCGGCCACGCTCGATGCGACGCGCCCTGATTTGTTCGGCCAGAAAGGGGGGCGGGGGCCTACCGGCGAAACCTCGCGACAGAGCACGAGCGCGGCAGCGAGCGCAAACTTGGATTCAGGTGCGTCAGCCCCTCGCTACTCTAGCGACGCGTCACCCATGGGGGCCCGCGCGCTCACCGACGGGGGGCGAGCGATCACCCGCGCAACAGGTTGGCTTAGCACGGCAAGCATCACGGCCGAAGCAGCAGAACACCCCGCCAAAATTCCCTCGAAGCTGACGTGGGCGCCCGAGAGGGAACCGCGCGCATCGACCCTACTGGGGCCACGCAGCTCTGGACGGGCACCCAACCTATCACATGCGAGAAACCAAGCTGCAGAAAAAAAAAAAAAAACAAAAAAAACAAAAACAAAAACATCGAATCCATCAGAAGTTTTATCATCTATCAGAAAATAATCACATCTAGCAGCACAGACACGGAACGCAAGCCCCCAGCGTTCGAAACCTCCGCAGCGAGATTCGCATCAAAGGCCGAGTCGCTCGAGCTCCCCCCCCTCCCAGCCCCCCAAAACTCTTCAATTCTGGCGGCCAGCCCCCGCCTCTCGGCCACGACCCTGCGCAATCGGCCCCGGGCGCGGAAGAGGGAGACGAGGGGGGCAATCAGCCCGCGCCCCCCATCTGCCTTCGGGTAGCGGACCGGGCGGCAGACGATGCGCTCCGTCGGCCAGCTGCCCACCCTCTCACAACTCATTAGAAGGGCGGCCACTGCCTGGAGCATGCCAGGCGACTGATGCCGCAACAAAACGGGGGTGGATGCTCAAGCATCCCACAACCGGTCGCCCCTCGCAAACCGGCGACCGAAATCTGCGGAAGCGACGGCCAAGCATCGAAATCGGGCAGCGGCTCGGGCGCGCGGCGGCGTGAGTCGACCAGACAGGGGCCCACTCAGAGCAAACCGCATCAGCCAACTCCCGCGGCTGCGCTGGCTCGATGGCCTCGATCGCCACCTGTAACACTCGGATCCTGGACGAAAAAACTGCGCGCCCGCGGGCGCCGCCCTGAAAACTACCCCGCTCCGAAGCCTTTCATGGGGCTTCCCTCTGGGCAAGAAAACTGGCCTGACGTGTTTCAGCCTGGCCCGGGATTTGCTGAATCACGCAAGCCTTCGGTCGCAGGATC